TCTGAACTGCCAACCTTTTCGTTAGCAGCTGTAGCACTTAACCACTGTGCCACCAGGTCTCCTATCCCTAGCTAAGACACCAAAAAGTATATTCACTGCATATAGTGCCTACTATTGGCGAAGACCAATTCAAAGAAAAAATTATCCTGTAACTCAAATCTTTAGAAATATACTATTTAGTTAACATACATTTGGCACCAAAACCACACCAAATCCACTGCCGTCGGGTCGATTCCAACTCATAACAGCTCTATTTGGCGCAACCAGATATAAAGATGTAGTACTTGATACACCAATTCTTTTCTCCTTTACATTTTTATGAATCAGGGGATGTTAATGGTTGTTGAGCAGTATAAAATTTGCACTTCTACCATATATCTGTTTTCTAAGAATTATACCAAAAATTCCTATATGAATTTTACACAAACACTCCATTTGGGGAATGGGGTAGAGGGGATGAATCTTAATACCTCCAGAAGTTTGGGTCTTGGGAAAACAGGCTGTTAAAATGACTATTCTTTGATTTTCAGTGGTTAGTCTGAGCCCACACTGTATGCATACATATTTTAAAAACGGAGATAATGTGCTCAATACCTTAGTGTGCATCACTTACATACGAAACCTGGAAAGACACACCTACCTGGTGGGATCTTGCAGCAAATCTACTGCTTCTCTCAGCTGCTCAATCATCATCATGTCCATGTCCTGAGTTTTCGATGAACTTATTCTGCAACATGAAACCAAGCACAAGAATGAAAGCAATCAAAAAAACATGAATATCATCTAGGTTCCTAAAAACAAACTTTCAGAGTTCCATTTAACATATAAAAAATGATGTGGGCAAATGCAACATTTCAACCAAGATGTGTCAGTACCCTGTAGAGTGGGAAGAGCTCCCAGGTAGGGGGAGCGCAGCTCTGCCTTAAAGCAGCTCATGCTAAGTTCCCACCTATGGTCCTCCATCTGCTCATCTGTAAAATCAGGGCAACGCACTGGATTACAGGCCTCACACTGGCCTTTCCTGAGCTGTAGGGGCTCCAAGGCATAGAACCTCCTCCAGTTCAACCAGTGTGGCCCAGTTCTATTGCTTTCATGGAGTATGATGCTGCAGTGTGGGACAGTGGTTCACAATCCAGGCTCTATATGCATCTAAATCATCCTTGAGGCTTAAATACATATATGTATGTACGTATACACATACACACACACACACACACACACACATATTTAATACTCCCACACAGGTCAGGAACGGGGCTTGAGCGTTTATATAATTTTTACAAAGTTCTACAGATGACACTGATCTACAGCTAAGGTTGAGAACAACAGACAAAAGATTGCAAACAAAGTTCCATAGCTTCATGCAGTTTAAAAACATCTCTCTTTCCCTATATTTCTATGATTCTATAAGGAAGCTAGGCATCCCTGGCCTCACAGAAATAGAGCCAATAAATCACTGATAATACTGATTTGAAAGCAACTCAGCAATGCGTTTATTTAAAGGGCAAGAGATACTTGATTGTTACCGCTCCACTGAAGAAGTGGTGGTTCAGTGGAAGACTTCTTGCCTTCCTGGCCAATGCACCTCAAGCGCAGCCACTATCCGTCTATCAGTGCAGGCCTGCGTGTTGTTAGGATGCTGAAGAGGTTTCGGTGGAGCTTGCAAACTAAGATGGGCCAGGAAGAAAAGCCTGACAGTCTACTTTGAAAATTCAGCCAATGAAAACCCCATGGATCACCATGGTCTGATCCACAACCCATCACAGGGATGACGCAGGACTGGGCAACATTTTGTTTCCTCATGCATGGGGTGGTCGTGAGTCAAGGGCCAACGTGACAGCAGCTAACAACAACAACAACACTTCCCACTATAAAATGTAAACCGATGTCCTTCCGTAAGTGAGGAAACTTGTAAACAATGTGGCTGGTCCTCACTAGGGGAAGACACCATGCAAAACACAGTGGAAGGTCCAAGCCTACATATCCCAGATTATGGAAAACCAAATCTCAGGAACCAAAAATCTACTCTATACCACATAAAACCCACTGCTGGTGTGGCGATTCTGACTCATAGCGACTCCATAGGGTTTCCAAGGCTGTGTATTTCTACAGAAGCAGACTATCACATCTTTCTCCTGCAGAGCCACTGGTGGTTTTGAACCACCGACCTTTAAGCTAGCGGTCAATCGCTTTAACCACTGCGCCACCAGGGCTTCTCTGTACCACACAGTCCAAATCAAATTCCCCTGGAAATGGTATGGTTCATCAACTGACAGATCATGCATATCCTCCCCAGTAAATCTTGCCATGTAAGACTTTATGTCCAGTAGAGTATAAAGGATACCAGTTTGGCAGAGTTCTTGGAGCGAAATCTTGGCCCTGTCACTCTGTGACCTTGGGGCAAGATCATCAATCTCTCTGAGCCTCAGTTTTGTCATCTGGGAAATGGGAGATGATAACAGAAGTTATTTCATAGGATTATTGTGAAGATGAAGGAGTTACCACCTGTGAAGTATTTGAGGCAGGGCCTGGCATGTGGTGTTTAATAAATATAGCTATAATAACCATCAGAATTGAGCCCAGGTCATTAAAATATATGGTTTTCTCAGATCTCTGACCAGAACACTCTGGGTAAAGAAGCAGAGGCCATTCTACAGATCATCTAAGGTCCAGTTTTCAGAAGGAATCTGGAATCTCCAGTCTAAAAATTCTAATTCTCTGGATCACATTTCTGCCCTCAGCCTCAAGTCAGGTAACACTAAAGGCCAAGGAGAGGCTAAGGAGTTGCACCATATTGCCCAGTACTGTGACAATAAGCACCAGATACATGAAAACTTGCAACTTCTTATCAATATCGTTGGGTAAGAATAGTAGCTTGTCAAAACATAAGCCGATCAAAATTCTGTCATGACAGTGAACTTTACAGGGATGGTGGCTAGTAGGTGGGCCCTGGTACTCACAGTCCCTCTGGCGGCCAGTGTGCGTCCTCTTCTATCCGTAACAGCTCCTCACAGTCTTCTGCCCTACCCTGTGGACAGCAACACACGGGTCTGCTGAGAACCACGGCTACTCAACAGTCAGAACCCAGGCCATGTCAGAAATTCAAAGCTTAACTCGACTCCTTTTTGTCCTCTTAGCACTTCCTGATGTCGACAGATCTTCTCGTGGGCATGTCAGTCACATGTGAATGTGCACCCTAGCTTTCTGACAGGAGAGGTCCCTGTGTATGTGTTGAGGACGGGTCTGTGTTTATGTATGCAGGAAGGGTGTCTGTGTGTGTTGAGGATGGGCGTGTGCATGTGTATGAGAGGTGTGTGTGTGAGAGAGGTGTGTGTGTGAGAGAGGAGAGGTTATGTGTGTGATAGAGGAGAGGCGTGTGTGAGAGGAGGTGTGTTTGTGAGGAGAGGTGTATGTGTATACGAGGAGAGGTGTGTGTTTGCGTGTGTATGTGAGAGGAGAGATGTGTACTGAGGAAGTGTGGGTGTAGGTATGGGTGTTATGAGGGTAGGTGTGTGTATGTGTGTTGAAGAAGGGTGTGTGTGTGTGTGTTTGAGGAGAGGTGTATGAGGAGAGGTGTGTGTGTATATGAGGAAAGGGGTGTGTGTGTGTATGTGAGAGGAAAGGTGTGTGTATTGAGGAAGAGGGGGTTGGGGTGTGGGTACGTATGAGAAGAGGTGTGCGTGTGTGAGGAGAGGTGTATGTATGTTGAGGAAGGGCGTGTGTATGTGAGGTGTGTGGGTATGGGTGCTGAGGTAGGGTGTGTGTGTGTATTGTGAAGAGGTAGGCGCTTGTGTGTGTATGAGGCAAGGTGTATGTGTTTACTGAGGAGGGAGATGTGTATTTAGAAGGGGTTTGGGTATGTGTATGAGGAGAAGTGTGTGTCGGTGGGTATTGAGAAGTGTATGTTTGTGTACTATAGAAGGGTGTGTAGTAAGGAGGTGTGTGTGTTGAGGAAGTGTGTGTACTGAGGTGTGTGTATGCATTTATTGACAAGGGGTGTGTGTGTGTCTGTGTGTGAGTACTGAGGAGGGGTATGTGTACTGAGGAGGAGTGCGCGTGTGTGTGTATTGAGTAGGTGTGTGTATATTGACAAGGGGTATGTATGTCTGTGTGTGTGTGTACTCAGGAGGTGTGTGCACATGTGTGTGTATTGACAAGGAGTGTGTGTGTATTGAGGAGAGGTGTACGCATGTGTTGGTAGGAAAAAAGGACGTATAAAATACTTTACAACAGAAAATACCTCAAATTGCATCTAACAGTTTTCATGTGTACAGCATTCGGAATTCACTGAAATGTTCTCCTCTCTTTATTTTCCCCAAAGAGGCAATGGAGTGAGGGGGTATATTTAGAAAGGTGTGTCCCACAGTTGACCTTCCACATGTTTCCCTCCACTTTCATCTCTTACACAGAGAAATGCTGCTTTAACTCAAGCGACAGAACAGAAGCCACCCCTGAATGGGGGCACACTTCCCTGGCGAGGAAGGAACAACAGACAAAAGGACTGCATTCCGTGTCAAGGTTCAGGCACATCATCAGCCAACTTGAGGACCAGCCAATTCTCCAGATGTGTTATTGAGGACAAGCTTTATCCTGGGGAGGTGGTTAGTTGCCCAACGCAGGTCTCTGGCTAGAAAAACACTCAGATTTTTTCTACATTGATTATACTTTTGGTGTGGGGTAAACTCGACACGTAAATTACTGTGCCATTATCTGCATGATGCGTTGTAAATTCATGGGTGAATACATCATGCCAGAAATGACCAAGAACACATGTTCTTATCTCCTGATGCTCTTCAACTACAGTGGCAGTAGGTATTTTCTTCTAATCTTCAGTTTCACAGTCCAAATTAGGCAATAGTATAAAAAAAAACTATTTTTTCAATATGCCAAGTGGGGTTAGCTGGCTTTTTTCCCCAAAGTTAGATGGTTATGGTTGCAAGAATACAAGACACTAACTCAGAAGAGGAGAGAAAATACAGAATGGCTGATGGGCAAGAGGTTGGGCTGTACCACACCCCAGCTGGCACCCAAGTGCATGCTCAGAGGCTTTTAATAATGGAACTCAAGGTCTTGACACTCAGTGTATGACTTCTCCTTTAACTCCTTGAAGATTTAGGTTTTATTATTACCACTGTCCTCCTGATTTTCTAGGAAAAGTGTCTGCCAGGAGAGGGTGCCCAAAACATTAACTGAGTTGATTCCCAATCCTGTTTGCTCCTCCAGTCTGTGTCCACAGGATCCATTATATAGAGCAGCCATTTCTACAGAGTCCTTTGCTTCTTGAAATCTCTGAATCCAGGGGCATTTGCTTTTCTAAAACAATACCCTCTATTTTACTAATCGGTTTAATTGTTTTCCTTTACAACTTGAATTTGGATATTTTATGAACACATTTTTCAGGGTTTCCATCTTACCTTTGATTCATAACTTCAGCTGAACTCTTTCATAAAACAAAGAGAAAATCCCAATTTTCCATGTTTTCATGACAATCTTATTGTTACTACAGAGGTGAAGGACAGGGGTCAAATCTGTGAGAGCCATGTGAGACCCACTGCCCTGACGGTAATGTGATTAGATTTGTACTTTAGGAAAATGTCTTGTGGCAGAATATAGAGTGTGTGTGTGTGTGTGTGTGTGTTGCTGACAGTGGGGTGGCAGTGTTTGGTAAGAACAGGGCAGTTAGAAATGGTCATCAAAGTTAGAAACGATGAGGCTCAAGCGAGGCAATGGCAATGGCAGTAGAAGGCAGAAAGGAGGCAATGGGTGTGAGATATTCTGAAACTGGAACTCATGGATTAATGACAGATCAACAGAGTAAAGGGTTAAGGTTTAACCTTCTATGTAACCTTTTGTTATGGATTGAATTGTGACCCCTCCCAAAATATGTGTTGGAATCCTAACTCTGATATCTGTGGATGTAATCTAATATAATGAAATGTAATCACTTTCCATAATGTAGTCTAATGGTATGTTACCAAGGTCATGCCAGTGTAGAGTGTGTCTTAAACCTAGTAACTTCTGAGTTATCAAAAAGGCAGATCAGAAACAAAGGCATGCACACACTGGGGAAGACAGATGCCACGCAAGGATCGACAAGGAATGTCCAGGGCTTCTGACAAGGAAGGAATCAACATGGTTGAGACCCTGGTTTGGACTTTCAGCCTCCAGAACTGTGAAAAAATAAAATTCTGTTCTTTAAACTCCCCTACTTGTGGTATTTGCGTTATTACAGCAGTATTAGGGAACTAAGACATTTTGAAATTATTTTAGTTGGTTTTCTACAAACTTATGTCAGATTCATTGCTTCTGTCTTGAGGTGGCAATGATCTCCTGAGCATAGGCAGCATCTGGCTACTGATGCACCAGGATCTCATACAGGGTCAAATTCAGCTGTTTTCCTCCCAACTACTTTTAAGATGGTGCCTGGAGACTTTGGTTTAGACTAAGTCCAGCCATCATGACATAGTCCTCAGAAAATCGAGATGAGCACTTAAGAGATCCCATTCTTGGCTTTCTTGATTTTTGGAAGTAGATCTCCAGGCCTTTCTTCCTAGTCTGTCTTAGTCTGGAAGCTTCGCTGAATGCTGCTCAGCATCACAGCAACACACAAGCCTTCAGTGACAGATGGGTGGTGGTTGTGCATGAGCTGCATTGGCCAGGAATCAAACTCAGCAGCTCTGAGACCATCATCTCTCACCCAAACCAAAACACTCATTGCCATCGAGTCGATTCCGACTCATAGTGACCCTACAGGACACAGGAGAAATGCCCCATAGGGTTTCCAAAGCTGTATATCTTTACAGAAGCAGACTGCATAAAGAGTGCACTCTGTCTCCTGTGGAGCAGGCTGGTGGGTTCAAACTGCTGACCTTCCGGTCAGTAGGCGAGTGCTTTAACCACTGTGCCACCAGGGCTCCTTTCATCTCTCATAAGCCATGCTAAATCTGAATTTTACTAAAACAATTATCCTGGATATTGTTGGGTGCCACAGTGTGAACCAAAAGGTCCAGCCACATACCAAGGCACCTAACCATGTCATAAAGCAGAACCTTAGCTACCTACTTTAAAAAAGAGCTAGTTTTTCCCTTTTCCCTTTGCTGTTACTATGACAAAGGTTTCCTGGGAGCTCAGCGACTTCACTCAACCTTTCAACACCTCAGCAGAACTACAAGCAGCTCAGGGATAAGCATCCTCAAAGTGACCTTTCCAAAAAGGGGAGACATTCATTTCCAGATTTTAAAAGTCTCTTTTTTCCTCTTTATCCTATGGATGCATGAGGCAGTGGTGGTTCAGTGGCAGAATTCCCATTTCCCAGGTGGGAGATCTGGGTTCTGTTTCTGGCCAATACACCCCATGCACAGCCTCCACCTGTCTGTCAGTGGAGGCTTGCGTGTTGCTCTGATGCTGAACAGGTTTCAGCAGAGCTGCCAGACTAAGACGAACTAAGAAAGAAGGCCTGGAGATCTGCTTCTGAAAATCAGCCAGTGAAAATGATCTGATCCCACTGTGCCTGGGGTCACCATGAATCTGGGGCCAACTTGATGTCAGCTAAAAACAACAACTATGGATATACTCCTACGACTATTCACCTAGAATATATTGAAAAGTATGTGAAATTTTGTCTGTTTTAGCTTTCCTGAATGGTCATTTGCTAATTTATGTGGTATACTGAGTAGAGGAAAGCTGAGTAATTTCTGAATAGAAATGAACATCGTACACATACGCAGGCAAACACAAAGGTATGCACGGCAGGGACAAGAAACTAATGTCAGCAAACACACACACCGACTTTTGAGAAGACGTTATAAAGTCTTGAGGAAAATTACAGTCAGCTGACCATTTAAGGTGATGGATTAGTGACCTTGAACTTCAGTTTTAAGGTTTCATCCAGGAGAAAGTGAGTAAAGACTTAGTTGATCCTCAACTTGCCTTAATATAGTTGATAAATTCAGAACTCAGAACCTCTGCTCCTTCGGTAAATTGGTCTCGTTCTTCTCCTGAGTTGTCATTGTCACCCAAAAGGGAAGGCTCTGGTTGAAATTCCTGAAGACATTCACCTGCTGGGAAAATATAAAGGAAAGCAAAGAGCATGATGTCAGGAAGAGATGAGGAAAGCAGGGATGCACCTCAGCTAGCTATCTAATCATTGCGGTCCTCCCTCTGACCTCGTAAGGAGGTGCACAATGACCCAGGTCATTGTACCCTGCAGGATGGGAGGAAAAGATGGGACAAGGAGGAAGAAAATGAAGATAAACAAAAGAAACAGAAAGTCTCAAACTAAACGTATAAGTCATGGCCTCTTTATAGCTTGGTTCCTTACAGAAGAAATGAAATTGTCTCTTATTTTTTAAGGAACAGAAAAAATCTAAAAGAAAGCTCTTGCGCTTAATAATGTGTGACAAAGTAACTATTTCAAATTCAAAATTTGACAAATATTGAGCAACTACTGAATGACAGGTGTTTTGGTAAACGTTTTAGGAACTAAAACATTTGGCCTAAAGGATTCCTGTTCCTCAGGAGCACCCACTCTTACGGAAGACGGTGAGAGGGACGGAGACAGAGCCCGAAGGCATAACAACCAGAAAAGCAATTAAGGTAAGGGCCACACAGGCCTGCACATCTCGGGCAGAACACACCCACCTAGACTGTGTTCCAGAAGGTGAAGCAGCAGCAAAACAAAAACCACGTCAAGCTTTTCTAACTCATCTGAAGACTAAAAAGGAGCAAACGGGGCTGCCCTTGAAGGACGCCTAGCCAGCAGACTACCCACACACAGAACAGAGGGGATAAAACTCACGGGTAACAAATTATATAATTCTTTTAGTTGAGAAATTTGCCGAAAACACTAACTCCTATACCACATAAGTGTTATACAGTTTATCTGATTAACAGAGTGGCAGAGCTCCATTTTCGTATAAAGTATCCAAACCCCAAACCCATTGCCGTCCAGTCGATTCTGACTCATAGCAACCCTATAGGACAGAGTAGAACTGCCCCATAGGGTTTCCAAGCCTGTAAATCTTTACAGAAGTAGACTGCCACATCTTTCTCCTGGGGTGGCCCGTGGGTTCAAACCGCCAACCTTTCGGTTAGCAGCCGAATGCTTAATGACTGCACCACTAGGGCTCCTATATAAAGTATACAGTATTTGTGCATTAAGATGGACAAAGTATGGTACCAATCAGCATCTCAGGTGAGCATAAATACTAAACTTAAAAACTTAACATAAGATGTGAAAGCAAGCACTAAACATTGGCTATGTATACTGAGTTTGTCGAAATGGTTCTCCATCCCCAGTAAGGGCATCCTCAAAACTATTAGGGAGATAATTTCCATATTAACCCAAAGTATTAGTAATTCCATAATTTCTAAAACTATTAAGGAGACAATTTCCACATTTCAGTTCTATACTATTTGTATATAGTGAAGTCATCTCTGCCATAAATTGTGAAAATTAAAATTTAGCATTTTCCTTGAAACTCATTGAGCACAGAGCAGCAATGAAAATACTGCCAAATAGACTTTGATGAGACCTTCTCACCAAGGTATGAAACGTATCACCAGGACACTGAAGGTACAAGAGATATACTGTGTTTAGTGACCACTTTGATGATTAACTAAGAACCACAGAACTTTAGAGCTATGAAGGACCTTAGAAATCACCTAATCTGATCACCTCATTGCACAGGTGAGGGAATTAAGGTTAAGTGACTTGCCTGAAGTCAAACAGATTCCTAGGCTCCCATCTCAACTACATTTCCCACCCTCGCTTGTAGCTGGGTGTAGCCTCTTTAAGAAGGAGTATGGGCACTCCTCCTAGGCCCAGCCCATAAACCCGGCCATGACCAAACTCCCATGCTCTTCTGGTTTGAAACAGAAGGGCACAGAAACCTTGGAAGTACTAAGTTGAAAAGGGTAGTTACATCATGGAAGGAGCCTGGGTCCTTGACTCACCATTTGGAGGTGAGTTGCCTGCCAATCAGCAGTTCCCATGTGAAACAAATTTGGATGGTGTTAAGCCACTGAGATTTGGGAATCCTATCTGTTACAGTAGCTACAGTTGTCCTAACTAATATATCTACCACATCAATATTTTCTTTCAGAGAGTGAATTTAAGGAATCTAGTATAAACCTTCAGAATGAGAATAGCTCTACTACTTACTAGCTGTGTGACCACTGGCAAGTTACTTAAACTCTCTGAGCCTCGCTTTCCTCGCCTATAAGATGGAGACAGAGTACTCATCTAGGTGTTTTGACCTTTCGATGAGCTCACCCTCACAAATTAGCTCAGTGACTGTGCATAGCAAGTGTGAAATGGACATTATTATCATTACCATATTTGTGCAAATTTAAAACATAACATTTGAAATTTAACAACAAGCCCTTTCTCCCCATCTTTTATTCTCAGACCTTTAACCGGGCTAAGGTGATGGCACACGTCCTCCTTGATCTGGTCTTCTTCCATAATATTTGACATTGGCACATTAAGGCTAACCGTGTCTTCATCGGAAGGCTAAAAAAGATAAGAGTGCACTGTTTTATTCAAGGGAGAAGAGAACGCTACGTGACTCTCCAAAGCATAATACTGAGTAAAAGAAGCCAGATACCAAAGAGGACAATCCCACTGACATAAGTTCAAAAGCTAGCACAACTAAACCGTGGTGTTGGAACTCAGGATAGTGATTACTCTTGGGGTGGGGATAAGGGGCACAAGTAACTTTCTAGGGACGCTGGTAAAGCTCTGTTTCTTGAGCTTGGAGCTGGTTACATGGGTGTGTTCGCTTTGTGACGAATCATCATGCTCACACTTAACGATTTATATGCTTCTCCGGGCGTCTATTTTGAACTGAAACTTTGCTAACCTAAGAGTCAAACTCAGAGCACCTAGCAAGAACTGTGTAATCCCTGACAGAACAAAGGAATAACTGTCAGTAGGCTATCCTCTTAGCCCTAAGCCTCATCGATCATTTTAATAGCCATGGTACTCTGAGATCTGACGACAAAGCTGATTTACCAAAACGACATTAAGATTTCATATGGCTGGTCACAAAAACAGGAGCAGTCAACCTCTCTGATGACATCTCGTTTACTTTGAGTGCATCTTCTACACAACACCAAGCTTTGTCTTATTTCTCTTTTTTTAGGCTTGAGAGCTGCATTAAATGCATAAAAGTGCTAAAAAAAAACCTGTAGTACTTAAAAAGAACATGGTTCTGTGTAATTTTTGGAATAAGGCTTCAATTTAGTAATCTGAGGTAGTTCTTTCTGGGAGGCTCCTTTCACATAATAGCTGATGAAATTTATTCAGAAAATCTATGATTCTGTCACAAATGAAACATGGAACCTCATTTATTTTCCTAAGTCTCCCTTTTAGTGTTGCTATTTAGTGAAAGGAGGCCTGATGGCACAGGGGTTAAGCATTTGGCTGCTAACCAAAAGGTCAGCAGTTCAAATCCACCAGCCACTCCTTGGAAACCCAACGGGGCAGTTCCACTTGGTCTTATAGGGTCACTGTGAGTTGGAATCAACTCCATGGCAACAGGTTTTATTTAGTGAAAAGCTTTCCAAATCAGAGGGACCAGGCATCTCCACAGAATACATTTCAGGTGATTGCGGCTTGCTCCTAAATTCCTGAGGTGACTACTTTCAGAGCAGAATGTTTGTTTTCATTTTTTGACACGCTCACCGAATGTCTGGAAACTGACAGAAAACAAGTGTGCATTTCACTCATTTAATAAATCTTCACGGAGTCCCACATTTTCCTGCTTGCTTATCGTGAGAAAAGTACGTTTTTAATTTCTTAATGACAAATGCTCTATCAATTATTCAATGGTAACAGCCAAAGAAAGGAAACGCAGTATGATCCTTGAACCTCACAATGAGATATAAATGGGGAAAGACAGGCTGACGATGGACAGTCACATATTTGCCAAATAAGGTGAAAACAGAAAAAGCTACGTAGGACAACTCAGAAACTGTATCATTCTAAAAGATGAACTTCTTGGAGTGTTGCTCAGGTAATGGGGCTATGATGAGAGACAACAGAAGCCAAAGGGAAGATCTGTGCATTTTATTCTGTTGAATATAATCCTTTCTATAGCCCCTCTTCTTTCCACCCTTACCCCATCTTAAAAACTTAGCAAAATTCCAAAGGTATGCATCTAATTAAAAGGGAGAGACTAAATGCCCTGCCTCCTTTTAGAATATTAGCATTCTATTTATACTAAGTGAGAACAAAGGGATAATGGAGTCCTTTGTGTGATGTCTTATTAACCAACTTAATTATTCTTAGAAGACATATAAAGGATAAAGCAGAGTCTGTTTCAATTTAATAGAAAATAAGCTTAGGGTGAGTAATCTCTGAAACAATGGTACATTTTAGGGGACTTAGTTTTAATAAAGCTGAAAGGGATGAATTAAAATACAACTTATAAAGCAATGTGTTTAGCTTTTATCCCCCCAGGGAACCCTAGTAAACTATTAATGTGGTTTCATGAGGATCATTTTCTTTTATTGACACTGACTTTCTTCTCCTGCTTACTAAGTTGCCTTCTGTTAAAAATGATTTTCTATATTTGAAATACTTGAAGGTATATTAATTTTTAAGGCACTGCTTTGTAACACATTTTGTAGAAAATAAATTCCAGTATCTTAGATATGTATTAAGCCTTAAAGACGTGAGGAGAACTGGTAAATGGCTCTCTCCCGGGAGCTACATATAATAAAAAATGGAGATCCTTAGACGGGTAGTTGACCCATTAATCACATCTGCAGAGGGTTCTGTAATGTTTCCAAACTCGTGACTATAAAAATTCACTAACTTCCCTCAAAAAGGAAGAGTACCTGATGACGCATCCATCCCCGACTGCACCTATATCTTCTGGCAGCTTGGGTCAAGAAGCTCCATTTAATTATACATTAATACAAGACTCTGGGATTCTAACAGACTATCAATGAGATAATAAATATTTTAATAGAGGGTTATTTATAACCACTACAGGGAGGTCTGGAGCCCTGGTGGCTCAGTGGTTAACAGCTCAGGCTGCTAACCAAAAAGTTGGCAGTTTGAATCTACCAGCTGCTTTTTGGAAGCTCTATGGGGCAGTTCTACTCTGTCCTATAGGATCACTATGCGTTGGAATCGACTCAACGGCAAGAGGTTTTATAGGAAGCTCTAGTGTGCTTTCTATAGTGGTTCTAAATAACTCTCCGTTAAAATAACCAAACTTTTATCCAATTATCTGAATAAAACACAATCTCAGAGTTTCTGGAAAGCATATACTGTTATAAAAAAATTACGGCTACTCCTAAGTGGCATTTGCTGCGGGTAAACTACTAAAATGCAACTTATACCTGATTCCTTAACATTCATGCATGCATATAACGACAGTATCTTCACTGGAAGGCTGAATTACTCTGCCAGTTAGAAACAAACACATTTATAAAGATGCCTCATGGGTACTTGCACACCACTTAGTCAGGTCAAATATTTATTAAGCATTAAAGAATAGTGTAAATAATACAGGGAGCAGAGGGAGGAAACAGAAACTCGACTCTGGAGGCATTTATAAAGAAGATACAGAAAAAGTAAAAACAGCTAATATTTATATAGCACTTGGAGGATTTCAAATTGCTCTCATAACATCATCACGTATTCTCAAGCAGATGAGGGAATTACCAGAAAGGAGTTTAAGGAAGGCAGGCAGAAATATCCAGAAGCACAGGAGGAAAAAATGTGACCAATAACCGTACCTCTGTGGCGGATAATCGCTTGTCTCCGTTGTCACTCCCAACGCCTGAGTCGGAATCTTTCTTGCTGGGGTGGATGTCATCAATATTGAATTTATTGAGGAAAGAATTGAAGTAGCAAAGTTAACACCAAGGTACATCAACTTACATTCTAGTAACAATTTTGCTATTTCTTTTAATGATTATTATAAGGCAATACAACAAATCAGTCCAGTAGCAAAGAATATCAAGATACAGGCCTAATGAAAATCAGATGGTTGTACTATCTAAAGATATAAACCAGGCACTGTGTTGGCTCCCGGTCACCACGTGTGGCAGAGAAGAACTGTCCGTGCTCCGTAGGGTTTTCAGTGGCTGATTTTTCGGAAGTAGATCACCAGGCCCTTCTTCTGAGATAGTACAAGATAAAATCTTTGTCTTCAGGCTCTATCTAACCAAGACGCCTGCTCTTAGATGCCAAATTGTTTCTTTGAAACACATATGAATGTTATTTTAACGATTTTAACATATAAAAAAAGCAATAAACTACATAAGTGCTTCTACCTCTTATTAAATGTGGTTACTTTCAATAACTCTTATCCAATGAGAAAATATATTTTATAGTATGTTTACTAAAAAAAGAAGCCCTGGTGGTGCAGCGGTTAAGTGCTTGCTACTAACCAAAAGGTGGGCAGTTTGAACCCACCAGCCACTCCAGGGGGGAAAGATGTGGCAGTCTGCTTCTGTAAAGATTACAGCCTGGAAAACCCTATGAGACAGTTCTACGTTGTTCTGTAGGGTCGCTATGAGTCAGAATCGACTCGACAGCAGTGTTTTTTTTTTAACTAAAAAAAGAGATTTTAAACATTATATAAAAGTATCACTTCGGTAGCCTAAGGTTTTAAGCCACCTTGTTTAGCAAACATTTAAGGAAAAGATTTCTGCAGTGAAATTTTTTTTCAAAAAGAATCTGTGTTTCTGTAAGTGTGTTCAGTGTGGGAATTTTGTTCTCTGAAAACTCCAGGCCCAATTTATTCCACAAAATTTATTCCCAATTTATTCCCAATTTATTCCATGCCCAAGGACATGTGAAAAGATTCTAACACTTCCACCCTAAACAGGAAATGGCAGAAACTACACACACTGTATTTTAAAAATGCATAAAAAAATTAAGCCTACAGTTTTTTTTTAGCAGTGTTCTGGAGGCAAATTAAAAATGAATAATAATTCTAAAAAGGCATGCATGAGCTTAATATGATTTTTCAACTGATAAGCAAAAATATATTTATATTATAGACTGTATTTATAAGCACATACATACACACATACACACACATATATGTATGTGTGTGTATATAAATAAAATAAAAGTACTTGGGAAGGGTGGATTAGGAGAGGGGAGGAGATGAGAACTGACAAATGCTAAAATGTTACCAACAGTTAACAATTTTCTTTTTGTTAGTCCAGTAGTTTCTGCGAGTTATGAATTTGAATTGGTTCACTGATGCAAATGGATTTTGGAAGTTAGTTACCTGGAGGGTGTTGGCCTAAGAACATTCTAAACTGGGGCTCCGAGTAAGAGTAGCTGGACTCACCTGTCCTCCACGTGCTGGTGTAAATGCGGCCTCTCCATCGAGTGGAGGTAAAGGGAGTCAGCTGTCTTAATCTGGCATGCTTGTATGCTCAGATACTTGAATATGTGCACTTTGCCCTTCGTGCAAATCTACCGAGAAATTAAAAATACATATTTACCTTTAATGGCAAAACAAAATCTAAACACCAGACATCTTACACTGCATATTTTCATTTTCACTTTAAGTAGCACCCTAACAATGCACACCAAATCTGACCTCTCCAAAACATATGAGAATTTAGGAGGGAAAAAAAAGATGAGGAACTGCTGATGCTGCTTAGGTATGACCAAAAACCTCAAGGGATTTGATTTCTTGGTTTGGAGGTTTAGGGTCAAAGTTTCATGGGACTTCCCAGTTAATTGGCCGAACTTAGTTTTTAGGGCTTCTGTACTATCTCCAAGTTTGTTGTGTAGTGCCTGGGGTCTTAAAAGCTGCAAGCTGCCATGAGGGCACAACGGTTGGTCTCTATTCTCTTGGAGCAACACAGGAAGAAGGAGAGTCAGCAATAGGAGGAGGAAATGGAATGTATGGCCAATTGCCTCCATGAACAACTGCCTCCTTTGCCATGAGACCAGAAGAATGGGATGGTGCCCAGCTACCATTAATGAACATATTGATCTAAGACTCCATAGAAGAATTCTGATCGAAAGGGGGAAAATGCAGACAGAATTTCAAATTCTCATGGAATCCAGCCTTTCTGGAGCCACTGAAGCTGGATGAACACCTAAAACGACTGCCCTGAGATAATCTTTCAACCTTAAACCAAAAATATCCCCTGAAGTCTTCTTTAAACCAAAAAACTGTTTAGCTTAATTAGTAATGTCTGCCTTGAGCATTGTGCTTTTTAAAAAAACTACCTACATGGGATCAAATTGACAACAGCAACAAGAAGGTCAAATAGGAAGGTTAGGGGGCAGTGAGTTTCTGTTAATGGGGGAGGAACAATTTGGAAAAGGAGGGTGAGAATGGTTGCACAACTTGAAGAATGTAATTAATGTCACTGAATTGTACATGTAGGAACTGTTGAACTGATGTGTTTTGCTGTGCGTATTTTTAATAACAATAATAAAAAAAAGAATTCAGGGGATCATTTCCTCCAATTCTACTCTGTATAAAAAACCATTTCTAACTTCAAGCAATTTCTAACTTCTTGCACTAAGCTACAAAATTTTAACAGATATGTATGTAAGTATAAATAGTATAAAAAGTTCAAAGTCTGATAACTGGAAACCCCAGGTGTTACAGAGTAGAACTGCTTCAAGGATTTTCCTGGCTGTAAACCCTGATGGTGCAGCGGTCTTGACTGCTAACCGAAAGGTCGATGGTTCTAAACCTCCAGCAGCTCCATGGAAGAAAGATGTGGCAGTCTGCTTCTGTAAAGATTCACAGCCTTGGAAACCCTATGGAGTCACTATGAGTCGGAATCAACTTGATGGTAGTGGGTTTGACTTGCTTTTTAAAATCTTTTTGGAAGCAAATCACCAGGGCTTTCTTCCAAGGGGCTGCTGGGTGGTTCAAACTACCACCTTTTAGATTATTAGTTGAGTGTAAACCATTTGCACTAAGGACCTTATGAAAGACTACAAAAGTACACTTATTTTCAAGCCCATAAGGAAAAAAAAAAGAGCTTAAAAAGTACCTTTTGGTTAGCAGCTATATCACTTAACCACTGCACCACCAGGGCTCCGAATTATTTTAAAGTAAAATAAAATTAAAAATACTTACATGGCTGATCATCGGATGAGGAGCCCTGGTGGTGCAGTGGTTAAGCGCTTGGCTGCTAATGGAAAGGTTGGCAGTTTGAACCCACCAGCCGCTCCATGTGAGAAAGGGGTGGCAGTTTGCTTCCGTAAAGATTTACAGCCTTGGAAACCCTATGGGGCAGCACTACACTGTCCTTTAAGGGTCGCTGTAAGTCAGAATTGACTGGCTGGCAATGGGTTTGGTTTGTTAATCATTGGATGTACATCATTTTTTTTCTTAACAGTTTAATATTTGAGTTTGAATACCATCTCTAAAGAACCAAATCCATTTTCCAGCTAACATTAAATTAAGGAATTTAGTCAGTCCTCATTATCTGCACATTCCATATGTGCAAATTTGTCTACTCTTTATAATATTTATTTGTAACTTTACAATCCATACTCACGGCATTTTCAGAGCAGGGAAAATTTGAAGTTGGCCAATGCACACATTCCTCGCTGAGCCAAATGCTGGTAAATGGCTTTGATGCAGGAGACAACTTAATGTACCCAGATTCACCTGCGGTCAATGTTTTTTGTGTGACTGCTCACGGTCATGTCTAATATGAATTCAGCAAGTATCAAAAAACTGGCTCTGGAGAGCTGCATATGCTCTATTGGTAGCAAATTCCACAACGGCTTTGCTACAAGGCTTCTCACCTGTGCGGGAGGAGACTGCAAAGGGTTATTCTCCAGCAATAATACTTGCAGCTGCTTCATCTCTCTAAAACAAATCGGAATCGCCAGCACTTTATTGCAGGAAAAGTCAAACTTTACCAGGGGAAGATCTACTAGTTCTAAAAGAACAGGGAAAAAAAAAAAAAAAAATTCAGCGAGCAACAACATTAAATAGTTAAACATCAAAAATAAATTTCTGCTTATCAAGAAAAATAGCAGTTTAATCAAAAGCAAGATGTACATTATGAATACATGTTATGTGCATACAACATACCAAAGAGGGTAAAACTTTTTCATTGGGAGCTCAATAATTCTAAATTGCTGTTAGTTCTGATAAGAGCTGGACAATATTTTACACTGACAAATCTACTGTTTAAGACATTTTTTCTTTCCTCAGCAAAAGAAACATCAGCTAAGTCACACAGGACAGACATATTTATGTTTTAACTTCAAAATGTTTTCAAGCAGTACTTGCTAGCATATAAATAATATGCTAATTACAAATATTCTTATCTCTTCAGTGGATCTGGGCTAGCATAAACTCAGAGCTAGTTACAATAAATATGTTCATGATTTTTTAACTGTGTTTTTAAAAATAAACACAATCTCATTCAGAATGTTCTGACAAAAGCCCTATAATTCTTACTTGATGAGGCTTTCTCTACTTGACTGCTTTTAAAAAGTCCTCTATAGCTCCACCAACAAGACAGAACATTATATTTAGCTTAAAATCCCCACCCAGTGGCACAGTAAACACTCAGTAATTTCAAGCATTCAAATCGACATTGGCAGCTGCTGGAAACAAAGTCAAATATATTCCACAGAGCAGAGAGGCTGAGCAACGCCAGACACCTAGGGGCACACTGGGAAAACCACTAAGATCTCTGAGTGAGAGGCCAGAGAAGGTTCATTTCAGAATGCGGGCCTCACCACTTTTGTTATGGGACCTTTTAAGGTCTTTAAAAGTCTCAAGGAATTCAAAAGTGGAGGAAGGGCAGAAGCTATATAAAGAAGAGGCAGTAACCTGGGGTAGAAGGCTTTAGTGGTTCAGTGGTAGAACTCTTGGAGCCCTGGTAGCACAGTGGTTAAGAGCTCAGCTGCTAACCAAAAGGTCGGCGGTTCGAAACCACCAGCCGCTCCTTGGAAACCCTCTGGGGCAGTTCTACTCTGTCCTGTAGGGTTGCTATGAGTCGGAAACGACTCGCTGGCAGCGGGTTTGGCTGGCAGAATTTTCGCCTTCCACGTGGGACAAGGCACCTCATGCTGAGTGCTGCCGAACAGGTTTCAGAGGCGCTGTCACACTAAGATGGACTAGGAAGAAAGGCCTGGCAATCGACTGCCAAAAATCAGTCAATGAAAATCCTATGGATCACAGTGGTCCAATCCCTAACTGATCACGGGGATGGCACAGGACCAGGGAATGTTTCGTTCCATAGTGCACGGGGTCGCCGTGAGTTGGGGGCTGAATCAAATCGCTGGCAGCTAACAACAATGATCTCTCCCCCTAACTGCATGAGGGTTTTACTTTACTCAGCTTTACTGCCTCAGATTCCACCAACAAACATCTCTTCTCAGAATTCAACTTGCTCTGGGAGTGTACGGGACTTTCCTTCTTTGAGATCTTATGAAGTGCTTTGTACTAAAGAAGAGAGTAATGGGACTGAAATGCGAGACAGAACCAGACTGGTATCCAACTCAGCAGGTCCCTGATGTGTGAGCTGTGGAAGACTAACTCAGGGAGTGCATTTTTTTAAAATACAGATTCCTGGGCCTGAAGCCAAGGAATCTGTATGTTTTTAAATACTTGGGAGTAATTTACTGCTTAAGCCCAGCTCTGCAGCCTCCAATACCAGGATGAGAGACTTGCCTCAGGCCACACTAGTGCTAGGGGTCGCTGTGACTGGAGTGGTGTGGAGCAGCATGAGGTGGAAGAGAGAGCAGGAGGTGACCTTGGGGGGCAGCACAAAATCACGGAAGTCAAAGGAAAAGGGAAAGTAAGAAACAGCATAACATCTTTTCCAAACTTCCTCCTTCTCCCTCTTCCACCCTCTAGTTCTAAAAACCAGGGTAAGGATAAGGGGGGTTATAAGACATGAGGAGCCCTGGTGGCACAGTAGTTAAGAGCTCAGCTGCTAATGCAAAGGTTGGCAGTTCGAATCCCCCAGCCGCTCCTTGGAAACCCATGGGGCAGTTGCCCTATAGGGTTGCTATGAGTCGGAATCAGCTCAACAGCAACGGGTTTGGTTTTTGTTTACATGACACGAGGAATACCTCGTTGCAGTAAGCCTTGATAATATTAATCGTCTCTGATATGGTTCATTTTCCTCACGAAAGTTACAGAGCAATCAAAGGCAAAATTTAACTGGTTCTTTAGCAATTCTTTGACACTTAAAACTAAGGCGCTTAAGCAAGGCTATAGGGCTCAACTCAGGGAAGACAGAAGGAGGGGGAAGGGAGGCAACTTGCAGGTAAATAAAGAATGGTTTTTATAATTACTATTTCCTTTATTTTTAGTTTCAGTTTGGAACACAATTACCATTTTAGTTTAGGAAAAAAAGAACCTGATGGTTTCACAACAAGAAAATGGTGAAGATGATAACCCTGCAACGCCAGTCCAGAAAAGGTCAAAAGAAACCAACAGAAGAAGGGAGTAAGAAAAAAATAAGATCAAATCCCACTTCTCTCTCTCCATCGCAAAGAGGAGCAAATAAATGGTTACTTTAATCCTCTGCCCATCTGGTTCCAGAAAGAACAAAATATGGCCTCCTCATTGCTGGGGCCGCAGTAAAACCACCACACAACTGACGCAGGTAATTAAGCTACAAACCTTTCTTCACCTCAGATTGAAAGCATATGAGGAGAGGTACGAAAAGAAGAAAAACATGAAAGTAATATGGAAAGTTTTTACATTCACTGCCTGAAAGCATTATTAATGCTCTTTTGTTAACAGAGTTCTCCTGAGTGAAGCAAACAGAAACTTGATATTCAGGAAATTACTCCCCCCGCAAAAAAAAAGATTTTCCAGAAAATTGAGGTTTTAGCTCTGAGTGTATTTTAAAATATCAAAACTGAGAAAACATAATTATGGAAAGCATAGAAATTTGTAACAGAACTTTTTAGGGAAAGAAATGCTTTTAAGGTAAGAAAATAAAAAGTGGTTAGAGAAATAAAAGGAGCCCTGGTGGCACAATGGTTAAGCGCTCAGCTACTAACTGAAAGGTTGGTGGTTCGAACCCAGAAGCGGCTCCGTGGGAGAAAAGACCTGGCCATCTGCTCCCATAAAGGTTATATAGCCTAGGAAACCCTGTAGTTCTACTCTGTCCTATAGGGTCACTATGAGTTGGAATCAACTTGATGGTACACAGCAAGAGAAAGAAAAACCTAGATTTTGCAAGTACACTTTCTTTCCACACCTTTCTCAACTATTACAACTATAAATTTAAATGATTAAATTTTCTTTCTGAAAATAAGAGTTCAATTTTTTGTGAGGCTTTCAAAATGGTTAACATGGAAGTTCACATTTACGCGAGAGTTTGCTTTAATGCTATGTATAAAAGGTTATACACTTCCGAATTTTATGTTAATAAGCATTTTCCCTTTTAACTTGCTCAAACCATGAATAACATTTTCATACATTCAAAAATGTGACTTTTGAATGTATGAAAATGACACAATGAAAAAATAAAAAATAGGTATTTTTTTACGAAGTCATCTCAAGTAATAACTTAATAAATCTTGATTCTAAGGTAGCTTCTAATTCTACTTCTAGTCAGCACGAGAAAGGTGGAAAGAGTGCAAACAGACTCTTAAACCTCCTATTTATGAAGCAAAGAATAGTTTATAAAGCCCTTCTCCTTTCATGTGCTCCATTTTCTTGCCTTTCAAACAAAGGACCAAGATGCAGGAAGAGAACTATAAAAATCAGGCAGCTCTCAAACACTAATATCAGGTTAACCAAATGCTGACTGTCTTTGCTATGAGGTATATTTTTAAGTATATGTTTGACATCAGGAATATCTAGTGTCCTTAAATGAAAACAATGGAAATCAGTGTGGTCCTTGGAAACCAGCATTCAGTACTGTGTTTTTCATCGACTCACTCCTGATTTTGGTTCAGATGAGATTCCAAATACATGAAATTTAGATCCACCATCATCCATAAGGCTGTTTTTCAAAGCTTTTGTTGTTGTTAGCTGCTGTCAAGTCAGCTTCCAACTCACGGAGACCCCATACACAACAGAACAAAAATTTGCCTGGTCCTGCGCCATCCCCATGATCGGTCGCAGCCTACTCCATTGTGATCTGTAAGGTTTCCATAGGCTGATTTTCAGAAGAAGATCACCAGGCCTTTCTTCTTAGTCTGTCTCAGTCTGGAAGTTCCACTGAAACATGTTCAGTATCATAGCAACATGCAATCCTCCACTGATGGATGGCGTCCGCGCAAGAGGTCCATTGGCCAAGAATTGAACCCGGGTCTCCCCCATGGAAGGTGAGAGTTCTAGCACTGAACCACCAATGACCCTATTCAAAGCTATTAATGGTACAAAATTTCTGAGTATAATATATATATCCAGCTGCCAGGGAAAGGTTTGCCCAAGTACCTGGAAAATCAGCATTCGCCCTGTGTGGTAGAAATGGAGTATCAATATGGAAGCTCTAGATCCACCATTGCTGCTTGCCTTCAAGACATTTACCAAAACTACCCATGACATTAGTCCACTCCAGCAGAGTAGTGACCTTGCGGAAGAACAAATCCTAGATACCAGGGGTGCCCAGTCAGTAACCCCAGAGTCCCAAGACCAGAAACTCTAACCACCAGGATCTGAAGAACCAAGCATGCCCTCTAAACTGTTGTTTGAGGGTATTCCAGAACATCACACACCCATGCCAAAAATAATTCATATTGCCTCAAACAGCTTTATAGTTTGTTGCTGTACTACTAGATTAAATTTACAACTTGCACATAACTTTTCTGTTATCTGCATGTAAAATTCACATTTTAATCAATATTAATTTGTTTTTGTTAGTCGCTGTCCAACTCATGACAACTCCATGTGTTACACAGTAGAACTGCACTCCACAGGGTTTTCTTGGCTGTAATCTTAATGGAAGCAGATCGCCAGGCCTTTCTTCCGTGGTACTGCTGGGTGGGTTTGAACTGCTGACCTTTAGGTTAGCAGTTGAGCGCAAACTGTTTGCACCACACAGGGACCTTAATTAATATTAATAGGCATACACAAACATGACTAGAACCACCCTCTTCACAAAAGTAAACAAAATATAATTAAATTAAAATTGCCCATTTTCTTCACTTTTTCCTCTTTCTTTTTTACCTTGTGGTAAAACTTTAAGGTAATTTCTTCTGACATTCAGTTCTCGTAGTGACTTCAGTTGACCTATCTGATGGGGCAAAGCTGTGATCTCGTTGCAGCTGACATCCTGTACCAAAAGCAAAGAGAAATCATAAATGTCTTTTTCCAGGAAATCAAGCATTTCATGTAGGGTCTCCTTCAGGATTAAATCCCAGGGCGACTACGTGGGTACCCTTTTATGTGGCTCTCAGATCCCTAGTAAGTAATGCTGAGCACAGAGCAGGAAAAAGGGAGACAAGAAAGATGTTAGTAACGTTCAATAGCGACTTTGCCAGCTACTGGCCTGCCACCTTCGCATGCTTCAATCTTACTTATGGGGTAGAGCTGGTTGCCTGATATTTGCAGATACGGAAATTGAGGCACACAGAAGTTAAGTCCGGTGCCCAAGGCGTGCAAAATCCCAGAGTGAATGCTATGAACTAACGACTTGCCCACGGGTAGCCACTGCAGCACAATGCTGCTAAAGAGAAGGAAGATGATAATGGATCCTATCTTACCAAATTCTCACATCTTATAGTAAAAAACTGTGAATATTAATACATTGTCTGGATGCACCATTTATTTAAAAAGGAGTTCTTACGGGAGGCTGAAGACCTTAGACCTGAACCCCTTCCATACATTTTACATGCAAGACTCTGGGGTCTTAGAGGAGTATAATATGATACAGTAATATTATAATGTAGTATAATACAGTATCACTATATTATTCCTTGTTTAGAACCACCTCTTAACACATGCAAAATGGAGGCCATGAAGTCTGCTGTTGTTAGCTGCCATCGAGTTGGCCCGACTCATGGTGACTCCACACACAACGGAACAAAATTCTGCCCCAGTCTGCGCCATCCATGTTCAGTTGCACATCGGATCACTGTGATCCACAGGGTTTTCACTGGCTGATTTTTGGAAGCAGGTCACCAGGCCTCTCTTCCTAGTCCACTTTAGTCTGGAAGGTCCACTAAAACCTGTTCAGCATCATAGCAACCCACCTGACTCCCTGACAGATGGGTGGGGCCGCACATGAGGTGCACTAGCAGGGAATCGAACTTGGGTCTCCCACATGGAAGGTGGGAATTCTACCACTGACCCACCAAGAAGTTTATTATCTTATATATCCTTATTCTCTTCTCTAGTCCCACTCTTCCTCTGATGTCTAGCATGTGTGCCCTGCTCTCCACACTCCAGCTACTGCTTTAATCCAAATTGGCATTATCTGTCAGCTAGACACCATAGCAGCCTTCCATCTGGTTTCCACACATCAGCCTCATCCTAGGATCTACCCTCCACAGAGCTGCCGGAGTGCAAATTTCATTATATTGTTCACCAGCTTAAAAATTTGCAACATTCAGCACCAACTACAGGATGAAGTACAAATTCCTCAACAAGGCACAGCATCCACGCTCAGGTCTACGTCTCCAGCACCATCTCTCCTGATACCCTCATTGCATTCTACACTCCAGCGCTGTTACTGCTCCTTGCAGTTCCCGGTGGGTGCCAAGCTGTTTCACATTCCCTAAACTGTTTGTGCTCTTTCCCTGCCTGATACGCCATTCTCCAATATGGTGCCCTTGGCCCACCCGCTCACCCTTCAAGACTTAATTTAAGCCCCACCTCCTCTCTGCAGCCTTTAGTGAGGCTTCCTCCCCTTCCCCCACTCCAGTCCAACATCCAGTGAGGACTGACCTTTTTTCCTTTGTGGTCCTATAAATGGTGGTGCTAGCACCTGTAACACTTCACTGCATTCCTTTGCTCACGTGCTGCCTTCCCCTATAAGCCAGTGAGCTCCTTGGTGAGAAAGGCCACGCCTTATGCACTTAGCAGAGTACCAGGTATGAAGTAAGGGCTCAAAAAATGTTGGATGAAATTTCTGAAATCCACTTACATTGATACTCTGAATGCTGCAGCTTATCCTGCTTCATGGCTGGGACCTCGGGATGTTTCAACCTACACATCTAAATCCCCTGCAGGTCCTGCTTGGTGACACAGAACCACAGACATATATTTGGGCAATGAATGAGCCTGGTGAAGTGAAGTCCTCAAATATCCCTCTTTACTTCTGAACCTGCAAAAAACTTCCCTTTTGAAAAACCAGTTGCCATGGAGTCAACTCCGACTCATGGTGCCCCCATGTGTGTCAGAGTAGAACCGTGCTCCACAGGGTTTTCACTGGCTGATTTTTCAGAAGTAGATCACCAGGCCTTTCTTCTGAGGTGTCTCTGGTGGACTCAAACCTCCAACCTTTCTGCTAGCTGTGAGTGCATTAACCATTTGGACCACTCAGGGACCCCTCTTTTCACCTGAGAGGGCACCAAAGGCTAGTTTCAGAAACCTGTTTCACGTTCACTCAGATGAGATGAACTCAGTTCCTCACTCACCAATCCCCTGAAAAGCCCAGGCTCTGCATTAGACCAGGGCTATAAAGAGCACGGTCAATCCCTGCCCTCTAACCTCCTCACATCTAAAAATCCTCAGGTGACCCGCCCAACCGTCAAGGTGCTGAGAGGGCTCAATGAATACCATCTGATGCAGATGAAGACTATCACTCCTGATAAAAGGAATGAGAAGGGGGCACCAGTGCTTCAGCAGTAGAATTCTCTCCTCCCGTGCGGGAGGCCCGAGTTCGATTCCTGGCCAATGCACCTCATGCGCAGCCACCACTCGTCATCAGTGGAGGCCTGCATGTTGCTATGATGCATAACAGGTTTTAGCTACGATTCCAGACGAAGACAGACTAGGAAGAAAGGCCTAGAGAAATGCTTTCAAAAATCAGCAAATGAAAACGGCGGATTACAATGGTCCAAGCCCCAACCAATCATGGGGATGGTGCAGGACCAGGTAGTGCTTTGTTCTGCTGTGCATGGGGTCGCCATGAGTCAGTGCCGGCTCCACTGCAGCCAACAACAGAAGGGAATGAAGCTGCAACCTGTAAAGCTGACTGTACACAGTGCGACTGCACCACCATCATTTTCTGTACTCAGCTGTTTGTGCCGTGGGTTAAGAACACAAGGTGTGCGGTGGCTTCACACCAATCTGGTTGTTGCTGCATCACTCTTGGCCCAGAAAAGTTACACAAAATTTTAAGAAAAACATTCTTAGTATTTAAAAAAAAAAAACACCCACAAGCACGTCTGTGGATACATAAAGGTCTAAGAAGTAATTATGGAATTAGGAGGTCTGGAGGAGATTCGTTCAGTCACTCTCAGCCCCTAGCCAAGTCAACAAAACGGCTCTGCCATACTCAATATTATCTCCACATACGAGGAGTGAAAAGTGAAATGCCATCTTTTTCCAATTACTGGGGCATTTGATTCATTACAGAAGTCAACAACCAAATCCCTTCAATGAAGGCTTTATATGTCTTTGCCTTAAACTGAGCTACAAATAAGCAAGAGGTACTCTCTCAATCTACTTTAAAAGAACCGTCACACAAATGGTGAACTGATGAGCCTTAGAAATACAGGACATCATGCTACTGGGCTCACTGCCTGGCACACTTTGGGAGGGAGGAGAATGGGAATTCATCTCCCATCTCGGGAGAGAATTTATGTTACTGACGTCTAAAATAAGTCTTGTGAGGGACAGCATGGGAAAGATCCCTTTGGTAGATCCTGGAAATCATGGATTTTCAGTGTGAAAGTGACAATTTTCAGACTTTAAAGAACACAGGTTTTTATATCTTTCTTTTAAAAACTGGTTAAGGGGGAAGGGGAGGCCAAAGGATAGCAGATATACTTAGGCAACATATTCGTGGCAGGAAGTTTCCTGAGATGAAATTCAGCTTTATCTCCTTTTTTAGGGTGGACTATATTCATCTTGGGGACCTAGTGGCGCAGTGATTAAGTGCTCGGCTGCTAACCAAAAGATCGGCAGTGCGAATCCACCAGCCACTCCTTGGAAACCCTGTGGGGGCAGTTCTACTCTGTCCGTTAGGGTTGCTATGGATGGGAATCGATTTGACGGCAAGGGGTTTAAATTCATCTTGTTTGGTAAAGTACAGTCAGCAAAAACAAGGAAAACCCCCAATGAGATGGATTGACACAATAGCTACAACAACAGACTCAAACATAGCAAAGATCATGAAGATGGCTCGGGACTGAGCGACGTTTTGTCGTGTTACACATAACGTCGCTATGATTTGAAGCCAGCTCAATGGCAACTACGGACAACAACAGATTCATCTCGCTCTCTGCTAAGAGCTAACTACTCATTACCCATGAAATTAAAGTATGCTGCTTCCCTGAACATAAGGTAATTTCTTCAACATATATTTCTAAGAAAATGGTCTTATCAAAAAAATTAACTCCGCTCCCTCAGTTATATTTAAATTCTTATTTATCAATTGGAAAAACAGTTACCTAATTGACTATATTTATATAAACATTTTTAAAAACTTCACACAATAAAAACGAGATGTGTTTTTCTTCTTCTGACTTAGAGGACAAAACGTCTGTGGAACATTAGAAACACAAGGGTCCAATCGTCCATTCACATTCTGAAGGGCATATGGTGAAGGTCAAAAAATGTCAACAGTACTGTGTACCCTTATCAGTTACCTCCTGTCCTGACAACATAATGGGGGGAAATGCCAGGCAAATCTAGTGCATAAGGAGAGATCAAGACTTTCCACTACTGTATTACAACAATTGCAGAAAATACTACAATATTTTCCACCAGCCACTGAACATTGCCTAATTTTTAAGAGGTTATGCATTTCATCATAAAAATAAAACTCCACAGGTAATTATGTCTTAATTAGCAGGGGAAAGAGAGGATAATCGTCTAGGTGTTTGGGGATAAGCTATTTCAGTTTTGAAAATGGAGAAACAATAATCCTAGAATGGCCTTGTTCTCTGGACCATGTCTTCCAAACTGGGCCTAAGACAAGGCATGACTTTTTTTGTAGTTCATTTAAAGATAAAATTTAGGAAAATAAATTTAAAAGGTAAACTGCACTGAAGAGAGACAGCCTGGCCATGCCGATGTCTCGAATTCAGACTTTGAGACTCCAGAACTGTGAGACAATAAATGTCTGTTTTGATAAGTTAAAAAGAAATTAAACTGCACTAATAT